ATATATATATATATGTTATGGCTTTTTTCCACTGCAATATTGTGCTTTAAATAAAATATTTTATTGTTAAATCGCGTGAGACGCATCAATTTGTTCAAGGCTACTCAGACTAGTGTCGTATCTATGCCAATGTATCTAAATAATTAATTATATAKTTAATAGTTACTGTTAGGAAGTGTAAAAACTATATTTAAAAAAAAATTGCAATTCTACGTGCCGTACTGYTGTGAAAATTTATTTTTGTTTTTCAACGTACATACCTCGTTATTCACTATGCATTAACGTATAATTAATCTTTTTTTTATGAACCGTTAACACGGGGAGGGAAACTGCGTTAGCATTACTCCCCTGACATTACCAACCCTCAATAATGAGGTAGGTATCTCTATACACTCATCTAGTGCTCTTCGGATTTAAATACCTATTGAAGTACTGACTTGCTGGAAATCCAGTTACTTTTTTATTATTATTAAAGAAATAACCCCCGGCAACTTGGCCATTGGAATAAGATACATTTTCTTTTTTTTGAAAGGTGTGTTACAGAATAATAATAGAAAAGGTTTAATAACAATAAATGTCTAAATTATATGAGTATAATTATAATAGGGTTGTGTTTTTTTAAATGGTTGAATAAGTTTGTCCAAAATTATTATTCTATAGCTTACTTTTATTTATTTTTACTTTACTTTTAATGGTATAACGTGTAAATTATATAAACATTCTAAATATTAAATAATTATTATTCATATAGATTTTCTAATATAATAATATGATTTAAATTGTTTAATCATACTTATGAGTTAAACACGGTAAGACGAACGTAACGTTAGAATGTAATGGCGTTACCTACATATTATTATATTAATACCTATATTATATATGTATGTGTATTAAACGTAAGGCACATATTGTAAGTATCTTACGTAAAATGGATTACTGGTCTATATATGTATCATAATGTATAATATATAGTTATTATCAAAAGCTAATTGGGTTGATGCAACCTCGCATTACTTGGAATTTTAGAGATAATTTCCAGAGTTAAACTATACCTTTTTATTGAATAATATATAAATACACGCATAGATACTGTTTAATCTTGGATTATATAGTATGGATGGAGCCCAGCAGCCCCTCTTGCCCGTGTAAACAATTTGACAAACATATAACTATATAAGYGACAACTCAATGAATTAATAAATTGAAAAGCAAAAAACAACTTAAACCAATTTCTCAGGGCATCATCATCATTAAGGAAAAACGGATATTTTCACGTATACAATTGCTTTTTGACAGAATCGATTTTGGATATTGGTGTAACTCTAAAAAATCACCGTAGATACTTACGTGAAATTTTCTTTGAATTATATTGGYATTTCTTATGCTTGATAAAATTTTCATTTATTACATTAATCTACTAATGTCAATAAAATTTTATCCTTTGGGTCAAAAAGCTTGAAAATAAAATACGTTCCTCATACATTTATGTATTAGCAGTTGAAAAATATCACAAATACATTGGCGTTTTTTTTATGACCGTTTAAAGCTCAAACGTTGACAAAATGTAA